AGTAGTGGCACCAATAAAAAAAAAATCTCCAGAAAGTTGGCTACCATCCCAGCAACCATCTCTTCTTGAACTCTCAGTGTCATGGAAAAGAGCCTAGGTTGAACATAATAAACTCAAACCTTGCCTCTCCTCTTACCCTGGCACCACCTGCTCAACCTGCCTTCTTCCAGCCGTCTGGTTATCTCAGAGCATTTCAGCTTTGCTTTCCCTTGTTGTTCTGGTTCCTCTGATCTTTCTCCCATCCCTGAGCTTTGTTCTTCAAGCCACAGTTCTATCACAACATCTGACTTCTAGACTTTATGCTTAGATATGCTTACCTCCTTCCTCCCTGAGTCCCTAAGATTTCCCTTTGCTACTTAATTGTCCCCTGCTCTGATGCTTTTGATCACTCAAAGAATAGCTGTCATTGAAGCTCAGCTTCAATAGTGGACTATTCCATCCATCACTAACCTCTCTGAAGGGTCTTTTGAGTCTGGACACTGAAATCTAGTGGCGGTCCTTGCAGGATCTTCCTAGTTCACCACTGTCATCTGGTGGACAAATGTAGTTACTACATAAGAGTCTGGCCTCAAACATCCACCGGAAAACCAAAGGGTTTTTTGTTCCGTTCTTGAATAACAAAGTACCTTTAAGAGCTACCAGGTGCTCTACCTTAACTGATCATTACAGTCAAAAGGGAATTATCTCACGTCTGTATTCCTACAGGTCTGTTCAAATCCTGTCCCTGGTGGAAGCATAAAACATTCTTTCCAAACTCTTCTCTCCTGGAGAGTAGTAGCACTATGCTTTTTTACAAGCACTAAATAAATGTTGTGGAAAATTGAAAATCTAACTGTTCAAACCATGGGCCTATAATTAATGTGGAGGCAATTTATCTTAATTGTAAGTCAAATGCTGGAGACCTTTGCTTACCAATAGATTTGACTCCAGAAGCCTATTTTTAGATCTCTGTGTTTTATGAGGAATTTGAGCTTGCAGTCTCCAGACGCATTTCCACTAAAAAAAAGAAGAAGAAGAAGAAGAAGAATGCAAAGCACTTCATGGAAATTGAGGGGGGGGTTAGGAAGAGAGAACAAGGCAGAGGAGGAGGAGGAAGGGGAGGAGGAGGAGGAAGAGGAGCAGGAGGCATGTTCTTTGTGCACATTGGTTCTACAGGCAACTTTCTTTTTCTTTTTTCTTTTTCCTTTCCTTTTCTTTTTTTTTTTTGGGGGGGGTGGTCAGGCATGGGGCTTGAACTCTGGGCCTGGGCACTGTCCCTCAGCTCTTCAGCTCAAGGCTAGTGCTCTACCTTCCTTGAGCCACAGCGCCACTTCCAGTTTTCTTATGGTTTATTGGAGATAAGAGTCTCACGGACATTCCTGCCCAGGTTGGCTTTGAACCGTGATCCTCAAATCTCAGCCTCCTGAGTAGCTAGGGTTATAGGCGTGAGGCATCAGCGCGCCTTGGCTGGCAGCCTTCTTTTTGCTGTGGTTTTTTTCTTCAATTTTCTTCTGCCTTTGCCCATTGTCTCAGCTGTTCTCTGTGTCTCTCTGCCTCATCTACCTCCTGCCCACATTGTCCCCCCCCCCCAGCTTCCCTGCTCTGTGGCCAAGTGCCCTCCTCTGGGCTCCCTGCCCTCTGGCTTCTTGAAAAAAGGGATCAGGAGATAAGGGATAAGGAGTGCTATGAACTGAGGGTACATGTACCCTCAAAACCCATGTGTTGAAACCCTCATTGCCACTGTGGCTGTACTTGGAGAAGGGAAGTAGCCATGGTTAAATCATGCCCGGTAATCCTAGCTATTCAGCTCAAGTAGTAGAGCCGTAGCCTTGCCCAAGCCCTGAGTTCAAGCCACTAGATGCAGGGGGGTGGGGAGGAAGGGAGAGAGTTAATAAGGGTGGGGCTGTAATTCAGCAATATTGGAAACCTTATAAGGAAGATCAACCTCCTTTCATTATTATCTGCATCCACCCCGGCTGCAGTCCACGCAGAGGAAAGGCCATGTGAAAACAAAGTGAAGTGACCTTCAGAAAGTCAGGGCAAAAAAAGCCAGAAGCTGAATTCTGCTAGATCTGAACTTTGAACTTCTAGCATTTAGAAGGAGAGAAAAAATTAATTTTCTTTGTTTAAACTACACAGTCTGTGGCGTATGGGTAGGGCAGCTCAGCCTGAGCAATGCAAAAGGCCATATTACATGCTAACCTCATCCCAAATTCTACCACACCTAGAGCTGTGCTGGGCTCGGCTCACACTGCTTCCTCTACGCCTTACAGACCTAGAAGTGATAACGGCTTCATTCCTGGTAGCCTCAATACCTTCCTCCCTCATGACCAGCAGGTAATATCACCTCCTTAGGTCCCTCTTCCCCTCCGAGTGTTTGTCTCTGTGTACTAGTCTCTCTTTGTGTGTGTGTGTGTGTGCGCGCACGCACACACGCTCGCCAGTTCTGGGCTTGAACTCTTGGCTTTTGTGGTCAAGGCTAGTGCTCTACCACTTGAGTCACTCCACTTCTGGCTGTTTTGGGGTAGTTAATTGGAGATAAGAGTCTCATGGGCTATAGTGCCTAGGTGGACCTCAAACCACGATCCTCAGATCTCAGCCTCCTGAGAGGCTATGAGCCATCAACACCCTGTCAAACGTCGCATTTTTGTAGCAAGTTATACTAACTGATGCATTTGACTTAACTTGATTGCTTTAATAATGAACCCATCTCCTAAATGTGTCTGAAATGCTTGGGATTGATGTTTCAACATACGAATTTGTGAAGGATGCAATGCCACCCATAACACATGGAAAGAAAAGAGCAGATTTCACAAGAACTGGAAAAATAGAAACTGTGTCTTATGACGGTAGGAGGGGTTAGTCAGCTGTGTGTCACCATAGTGATGTTCCCTGAGATGATTAACTTAGAAAGAGAAGAATTTATTTTGATTCAGTTTTGGAGGCCTCAGTCCATGATCTATTTGGCTCCACTCTTTGGACCCGTGGTAGGCAGAATACCTCAGCCAGCCGAAGCGCGTGATAGAGTAAATCCACTCACTGCATAGTCAGGAGGCAAAAGGAGAAAGGAAAAGGAACCAAAGTGTCACAGTCCCCTTCAAGGGTACACTCCAATTACTTAAAGACCTCTCACTAGGCCCCTCCTCCTAAATGATCCAGCTCCTCGCAGTAGCACCACCCTGGAGGACCAAGTCTTCAATACATGGGCCATTTAGGGCACTCAAGATGCAAACTATAAGGGCAGTGATGGAGAAGGTAGGTCACAGGACAGGAGTGATGATGATAGAATCAAAAGGTAAAAATATGTATGCTAGTTGGGTGCCAAGGGCTCACACCTGTAATCTTAGCTATTGAGGAGGCTGAGATCTGAGGACAGAGCTTTGAAGCCAACCCTGGACAAGAAAATCTAAGAGATTCTTTATCTCCAAGTAACCACCCAAAATACAGAAGTGGAGCTGTCACTCCAGTGACAGAGTGCTAGCCTTAGCAAAAAAGCTAAGAACAGCACGTAAACCATGAGTTCAAGCCCTAGTACTGGCACAAAAAAAGGAGAAGCAGAAGAAGAGTCCAGATCATAAGTAAGTCTGAAGTCTGAGATGTGGCCCAGTGACAAAGTGCTTGCCAGGTAAGTGAAATGTCCTGGGTTCAATCCCCAGGGCCAAAAAAGAAAAGATTTTTTAAAAAATACACAAAATAAATAAGTCTTGGGAAAGAAGAATTAGAAATGTTTTCTCTAAAGGGGTAGAGGATCCAGGCCTGTTGGCTCTTGCCTGTAAACCTAGCTACTCAGGAGACTAAGATCTAAGGATTGTAGTTCAAAGCCAGACCAGGCAGAAAGGTCTGTGAGACTCATTCCCAATTAATTACAGAAAAAGCCAGAAATGGTGCTGTGGCTCAAGTGGTAAAGTGCTACTCTTGAGCAAAAGGAGCTCAGGGACATCTAGACCCAGAGTTCAAGCCTCAGGACCAGAAAGACAGAAAAAGAGGTAGAGACTCTCCCTCAAAATCCATATGTAGAAGCCCTAAGCTTCCAATTTGATGGTATTGAAGATGAGGCTGTTGGATGGTAGTTAAGAGTTAGATAATCTCATGTGAGTGGAGCTTTCATGATACAATTAATGGCCAATTCTGTCTGTCTGTCTGTCAGTGGGTCAGTCGGTCTGTCTGTCTGCCTGTCTGTCTCTATCTTCTCAATGAGAATGCAGCAGGAAGTCAACTGTCTGCAAGCCAGAATGAGCCTTTGCCACAGCCCACACCTTGTTGGAACCTTGATCTTGAACTTCCCACCTTCCAAAATTGGAAATAAATGTCTGTGTTGAAGCCACATGGACTCTGGTGTTTTGCTCCAGGATCCCAATAGATGACTAAGACATCTCTTTTGAGTAGTTTGTGTTTGTGGCACCTGTGGAAGGTCCAGATGGACAAGTAGGGTTTAGATGCAGGGATTTCAAGTTCAGGGGAAACAAACACTTGGACATTTCAACTTTGTCAGAGGGTGGATGAAGTGTCCAAAGGTACAATGAGGGTGTTGAGACAAGCTAAGGATGTAAGAGGTGCATGGGGGGAGGTACCACAGTGTCTAGTAAGGACACCTGGCTCAAGGATAGCAATGGCACTGAAGCTAGAGGCAGAGATTCAGGAAGCAAAGGTAACAAGTGGCCTGGAGAAGGGGAGGTAGGGAGGGAAGGTGTGCAAATAACGCTTGGGATTTATCACATGGAACATCTCAATGACTTTATCCATGTACTTGGAGTGGAATGTCGTATTCATGATGGTTCTGCAGAAGGCAAACCCCAAGAAGGAAGTAGAAGAAGCATGAACTGTTGGGTGGGAAGATTCTGAAGGATGAGGAGAGAGGGAAGATGACTAGATGGAGCATCCCCCGGCTGTGATGCAGGTGAGACACACATGAAGAGAGAGGCAGGGAAGAAGGAGACACATGGAAGAGGAGGCTCTGCATTCTGAGTGTCTGTTACTGGAGTCCCCCATCAGACACAAAGGCTGGAACTTAGTACCCGATTATGGCCAACCATGGCTGGCAAGCCCAAGTGCGACTCCATGGACAGGAGCTCCCAGGTGTAATCACTGGAGACCCTCAGCTCATTGTCTTCCTCGCAGCAGGTGCTGGCCCTCTTGAAGAAGATCTGAGCAGCATACTATCATGGCAGCCAAAGGTAAGTTCACTGATAAGCTGAGAAGAGAGGAAATGGAAGTAGATCCTCAGCAACCTGGCTTTCTGTGAAGCTCAGAACCATGTTGTGAGAACTCTTGCGAAAACAAAGACCTCTCCAGCACTGGCCTCTGCTGATGTAGCTAACCAAGGCCCACCAGCCAAGGGCAGAAGAAAGTCTCATTTATACTGATGAACTGCGGGGATGGACCAGACCCAGGAAATCGCTGATGGACACTTGTTTCTGCATTGTCCATTGTTCAATGTCTATTGACTTCAGATTATGATGTCTATGGTTCTCCTGCCAGAGTGGGGAACAAAGCTCTCTAGAAATGTACCACAATTCCTAGCTGCTTCTGAAACCTTAACAGAAAGTTAGAAACCTTTGAAGAATGCACTAACAACATTGCTATAGTGACCTGGGAGACAAAAATAATCTGATGTCCAGCAGTGGACTGGTGGCTAAGGGTGATTAGGTTTACTTGGAGAACCTGGCTGTTTTTCAGAGGTAAATGATGTGAGCACGCTGTGGCTCCTTCTCCACACACTGGACCCAGCTCCTTGTGGCCTGCCACACACAGACACCAGCACATTTCTCTGCTCTAAGACCAGAGAGGAGTTCTGTTGAGTCCTTCTGGTGAGCCCTGAGCTCACAGATCCTTCTTTCTCCTAAAACTCGAGGGATAATGCCTTATAGAGTAGGAAAGTCTGGGCTATAAAGGAATTGTTTCTGGAAAGAGCCTTGGTTAAAGACTATCCTTAGATAATAACAGGAGAATTCTCTCTAGAGATTTGCATTCCTTTCTAAGAGGTGATATTGTTTGCAGACAGCAACAAGGTTTCAATGTTTTCTCCCAGCTTCCTCTTTTAAATGATTTTGCAAAGTTATTTAATTCAAGTTTAATTTCCTTACCTAATGCATATAAAATAGATAGTTATACTATAATGTTAGCTATCATTATTCTTCATTTTAAACATCTCTTGGTAGATAAAACTTAAATTCATATTCATACTTTCTTGCTGTTACATAAACTTTGGAAGTATGTATGAGAAATGAAGGACAACAGGTTGAAAGCAAAACTCTCAATGAATGCATGCATGTATCTACGCAAACATGCACACACACAACATCAAAGAGATTAGTGATGTTTTCTCTTACTGCTGTATCTTAAGGCATACATGGTAAGGTATTTCACCATGACAGTTCTACACAGGCATAGAATGTACTTTGATCACATTTGATCTGATCATTACTCTTGGTCTTTTCTGTCTCAAGCAAACTCAAACTGTCTATCACCAGCTAAGTGCTGGTACTCACGCTTATGATCCTAGCTAAGCAGGTGGCTGAGAGTTGGAGGACCAAGATTCAAAGTCATCCTGAGCAGAAAACTCAATGATATTCCATCTCCACCAAAATTCTGGGCTGAATATATGGTGTAAGTGATAGGACACTAGCCAAACAAGCAAGTCACGTGAGCACAGTTCACTGATTTCAAATCTTTGTGCTAGGATAGAGAAGAGAACAAGCAAAGCTGTTACCAGCCACCGCACGCGCCTGTCTAATCACCAGGTGATGTGCAGCTAGCCATGTATAGCATGCAACAGATGCTCAGCAGCTGTAGTTGGAGAAGAGCTGGCACTCAAACCACATTCCCTTGTGAACCTCACTAGAGAGAGACAAAAGTGTGCATTTCTAGTCTTTAGAAGTATCCACATAAAAAGACATATGTGTTTGTTTTGATTTGATTTAAAAAAAAATAAGCTGTGTCATATTCCCTGGTCCCTTGACAAGCAGAAAAGATAGTGAACGTACTTCAGAGGAGGCTTGAAGCAGGCCTGGCATATTTGTCAGTGTTTTCAAGGTTGAGCAAGCTCTTGACATCATTATCAGCAACATTCACTAGGTGTTGACACTTCCGATTCCATATAAAAGAATCCAGAGGATTTCAGTTCAGAGACTAGATATAGGCACCTCAGTGACCCTGAAGTATTGAGAGTTTGCAAGAGATTCTCAGAGTACAGACTGAGAACCTCAAAGAGATATGGTGGAACTCAGTAACAAAACGAATCAAAAGCAATGTGGTGTCTTCTCCCAGGGGAAGGAAATAGGGACATGGTGCTCCTTTGCTTCTACATTTGATTTCCTCTAATCATGAGTCAGACCATACTGTATGTATTTAGTTCTGCAAACTGTCTGTTAGCACATTCATTCCAATGACACTCAGTCCTCTGCTGGTATTTCCAAATCCTGTTTTGGCAATTACCCACAATCCTATGCTCCACTGTCTGTAATTACATCTTTGCTTTTAAAAGCAATCAGAAATGATGAATCTAGCATCATAGTTCAGTCAGTACTAGCAAAGATTTTAACACCAGATGCACCTGAAGACACATTCTAACTGTAATGTGAGTGCTCTTAGTCTTCATCCCTCAGTTTCCCCACTTGTAAGGATAGGAATGGGAATGGAATTTTGCTCCCAACCATGCAACAAACCCTAAGTAAGTATAAGTATAAGTAGTTTAAGTATAGAGCTTCACATACTGTCAGGTACCTGATGTCCATTCAATAAACCATGAACAAAAGACAAATCTTATCACGTCTCTAGGTACTTGAAAATGCAGCCATTTCTTAAAACCAGACAAATGCAGTATCTGGAATTAGCATAGATTGCATTCTAAGGTCAGGTGCAGACAGTCCTCATTTTCATGAATGTAAAAATTAGTGTTCATTAGGAGCAGCTGTGTAACTTAGCAACAGCCCCCATTGGCTGGGTTATTTTTCACTTGCATATGCTGTTGTGGTGGAGTTTCTCTCTCCTCACTGTCAAAATCATGGTGCCTCATGAGTGGACAGGATCTATTTCAGCAAGATGAGAGGGATTTCTATCAAGACACGCTGGGCACTTCAGGGAAACCTTCAGTGTGTCTTAGTTAGAAGCTTCTTTTACTAAGACTAGTTATGTGAACAGGATTGTCCAATTATGGAGCCCATGCAGCGTTTGGGATCTGGGGAAAGCCATGCAGAGCATCTGTGAGAATCCTGCCTGGAGGGTCAGGCCACAATGGAAAGAGTAGCAAAGATGTCAGGGGACAAGTCCATGCCACTGCTCACCTGCTTCCTGTGTCTGTCAGAGCTGGCTTCTTGAATTGATAAGGAGAAATAACTCTTCTGAACAACTTACTTGTTTGTGACTTTTGTTAAAGAACCCTGTAGGGAAATACAGCTATCAGTCTATTTTGATTGCTTTGACTCACACTCAGTATCTCTCTCATTTTAGAATTCTACAAGGTTTCTGTGTCCATGAAAGACTAGTTGAAGAAAATGAGCTTAAGAACAACCTCAGAATGAGAAGCTGTAAGGTTTTCCATAAGCACAAGTTTGCCACTTGGATTTCATAACTCCTGAGTTAGCCAGGCACAGGTGGCTCATGCCCGTAATCCTATCTACTCCAGAGGCTGAGATCTGAGGATCGAGGTTTGAAGCTAGCCTGGACAGAGAAGTCCAAGAGACTCTTATCTCTAATAAACTACTCAGAAAAAGCTGGAAGTGTAGCTGTGGCTCAAGAGGTAGAGCACTAGCCCTGAGCAAAAGAAGCTCCAAGACAGCACCCAGACCCTGTGCTCAAGTCCCAAGACCAAAGCAAATAAATTCAAAACTTGTGGTATAATCCCACAAACCCAGGAATTTTCTTTTTCTTTTCTGGGAGTCCTTGAACTCAGGGTCTGAGCCTAGTCCCTGAGCCTCTTTGTGTTCAAGGCTAGCACTCTACCACTTGAGCCAAAACTCCACTTTCAGTATTTTTTCTTTTTGGTAATTTATTAGACACTTCTTTATTTTTTGGGGTCGGTAGTGGGGATTGGGTGTTGTCCTTCAGCTCTTCAGCTCAAGGTTAGTGCTCTGCCACTTCCACAGCACCACTTCCAGCTTTTTCTGTGTATGTGGTGCTAAGGAATTGAACCCAGGGCTTCATGCATGCAAGGCAAGCACTCTACCACTGAGCCATTAGAGATAATAATCTCACAGACTTTCCTGCCCATGCTGGCTTTGAACTGTGATCCTCAGATTTCAGCCTCTTGTGTAGTTAGGATTACAGGTGCAGGGCCTACAGTTTGTTCTTTATTGTTAGTTATCACTTGGATAGCTTGAGTGCCAGTATGCAGAATGAAGATGAAAAGGAGCATCTCATGCTTCGAGACACTGCTTTGTTTTCCAACATCCTGCCCTTAAAGGACAGACACATTTGTGATATCACCTTGTCTGAAAACTCCAACAGGATCATGCATGGATGACGATACGTCCTCATGAACATCATGTTTAATTGCTTGAGGAAAGCTGTTGTAAGCACTTCCTCACACTGTCAAGGACCAGAGCTAGAGCACTCTGTTGCACACATGCTGATAGAGTCCATGAACACTGTGTGCAAGCGCTGTTCTATGTGCTTTTCACACATTCACTCCTTTCCTCCTCCCAACATGCCTACAAGATGAGCAACATTCTAATTTTAGCCCGTTGACATGTGAGGAAACTAAGTCTAAAGAGACACCAAGTTACTTCTTTAGATTATCACTCACCCAATATGTGGTAAAGGGCAGATCATTGCTTTAATTAATGATTCTTTTCTCCTTATTGCCTCCTCCTCTTCCTTCTTTGCTTCTTTCTCTTCTTCTTCCTCTTCCTTTTCCTCCTCCTCCTCTTCTTCTCCCTCCCCCTCCTGCTTTGTTCTCTCCTCTCCCTCTCTCCTTCTCCTTCCCTCCCCCCTCTCTCTTCCCCTCTCCTTTATGATCTTCAGAACCAGTGCTGCTGCAGTGTCAATAGATCTGAAAGAACTATAGCATGGCCTTTGAGCCCAATGAAGCTTCTTCCCAGGCTGGTAGAATGAAAGCATGTGTGCCCCCCCCCAGGTTTCTTACTCCATGTGAATAGAATAACCCATAAACTTAGGGAGCACATAGCAGTGCCTTGAGCTCACTTGTGTTCTTAGTATCCTGTTACATCAGTCATTG